GACATAATGTAATTTTTATATTACCATCCATTTTCATGTCGGTGAGCCTCGACATCGACATATGTCGGGCGACATTAGCGACATTTGAAACCATGCCTAAGTGTTAAATTTCAAGCAATACCATTTTGGACCCCCTTAAGATCTTAACCATGCCAAAATAGCAGGCAAGTTGACCCTTAGAGAAATGTGAAAGGCTGTTGAACATGTGGATTGAATCTTTTCTTACCCATAGTCCATGGATAAACCAAGTAATGGAAGGCATTATCTGTTAATGGATCATAGTACTTAGGTGGATTTTGCTCTACTTTGGCCACAGAAAATCTTTTATGATTAAAAAAGATTAGGATTGTGGTTATTGATAAAAAAGATTAGGATTGTGGTCATTCACCTTTCTGTGCCCTAATAGCAGTGGCCCTTGGACCAGTAGTTCTTTTTTTTTTTTGGATAATTAAAGTAGTTCATACACACACACACAGATATATATATATATATATATATATATATATATATATATTCTTTTGATGTGTAAACTCTATAGTTCCTTGAGTTTATATTAGTTTATGTTGTCTGAAAACTTTTGCATCATAGTGATATTGTAGCTACTAGCAATAGATGTAATTAGTAAAGTGGTTCCTGCTTCAGTCATTGGAGAGGCCGAGTAATTGGGCAAAATTGTTATGCAGCTGTAAGTTGGTTTTGTTCTTTGGGTGTAAGGCTTTATTCAGGTTTGGTGGTTTGGTTTTGAGGGTTGGGTGGACAGGCAGTAGGTTTGTTGAGTTAGAGGGTTAGTCTTAATTTTGTTTGTAATCTTTGGGTTTTTCTGTGGACTTTGGGGTTTAGTCCAGGTTTGGCTTTTGGAATTTCATGTTTGGAGTTTAGAGGGGGAGGATGGGTGTTGGTTCTGCTTTTTATCTCCCCTTTATTGTGGGTGATTCCTTATCATTTATTGTAATCTGTTCTTCTCTTTCTTAATAAATTTTATTTTTTATTTACTACCACAAAAAGATGGAATTAATAAAGGTTAAAGACTTAAAGTTTGTTTTTAATTTTTTTTTGATAATTAAATTTGTTTATAATTATAGGTAGTGCTGTTGAAGCAACTACTAAATTTATCAGCAAATTCTAATTTAGTGTGGTTTGCTTTTATTTAAGTCATTTGATCACTCCTTAATTTCTTGTTCTGCTGTTCTGTTTGGTGCAGTGTGTGAGCATGCATACTCGTTGGCACAAAATTTGGACCCTAACAGTGAGGGCAGAGGGGTGTTACAGTTCAAGACTGGTTTAATGTCTGTTATCAGGGTATGTTTTTGCTTTTGCAACTTGCAAGTGGAATGTTTGGTTTTGTACCCTATGGCTGCTGAACATATTTTCTTTGATCTGATGAATATATTTCAGCAGATCTATTTGAATTACTTCCGACAATATTATCCTTCACTATGTTTTGGAGTAGAGTAGGGTTGGAGCTCAAACCTTTTTGTCAGTGTAGCCAAGCGACTAGGCAATCTAGGAGTTTTGGACTGCCTAGGCAGCGCTTAGGTGATATGTAAATTAAAGAACTAAATTTTTGGCTGGTAATCTTGAATATCATATTTATGGGGAAATGAAAGGTTAAGACATAAAATGAGGCATATATTAAGAGGTATGAAGGGAGTATGAAAATTTAGGTGTTGCCTAGTCAGTGCCCTGATTTCACTGCTTTTTGTTTATCTGTTATGGGTATTTTTTTTGATCTGCTATCTGTTATGGGTGTTTAAAAAATTCTTTTTTTTTGTCTCTTTTTCTGTAACATTGGCTTTCTTGGGTGAAATTTCAGCAAAAGCTTGCAAAGAAGGAGGGTGGTGGCATAGATAGGAGTCAGGACATTGCTCGCTTACAGGATTTCTACAAACAATACAGGGAGAAACATAAGGTGGATGAGTTGCGTGAGGATGAAATGAAACTAAGAGAGTCGGGTCCTTTCAGTGGTAACCTTGGAGAGTATGTCTCTTCACTGGAAAACAATTTGAAAGCAATATTTTAGATAAATCTTCTTTATTTCCATTTCTACCCTTCCCTCCTCTTGCCCACCCCACCCCACCCCACTCAATGTGTTTCTTTTGTTGATCTCTTTTAACCTTTGTCATGCCTTTCATCCTATTTTTAGTGGATATTTTCAAATTTTCAATGTTACTATGTTTCATTGTAAATGTCTGTCATCAGTTTTGTATTCATGAAATCTAGGAAAGAAAAATAATTTCATGTCTTCTCCTAACGAGAACAGAGATTTACATAAAACACCATCACCAAAATATGTAAAACAACAACATTACAACACACACAACAATATGGAAAAAGAAAGGAATCTATGGCTTAGTAATGCCCAATGGGTAAGGTTCAGTTCATTTGACCTGACACCCAATCACAGCTGACCTGAACCTGATCTGACAGTGTCAGGTCAAAGCAGGTTTACCATTTAACCCGATCCATTGTCATCCCTAATTCTATATTTTGTCTTGCTACATTTTCTCTCTCATCTCCTGTTATATTGCTCAATTTTTGCTGACAAATGAAATATTCAGTTATTCACTAGGTGTTGTTTGTGGGCATAAAAACTGTTTCAATAATCCTAGTTTACACAGAGTTTATGTAACTTTTGATACCTTACCCTTGCAAACATGGTGGGGCCCATAAAATGTATACTGGAAGAAAGTTGGGTGCCTTTTCATGCATCTTTGGCTGTAGGGTGAAGAAAACCAAGAGTTGCATAAACTAGTTATTTAGTTGCATTTCAGTTGTTGGAGACATCTACATACTGCCAATCCTGAGTATAGTAAAATAATTTTCTCTTCATCCTTTCTACCCTTTACATGTTTTACCTTTTAGGTATTCAGATATATTTATATGTAGGGTCATGCAAATGTTTGTGTGGTTACCAATTGAAAAGTGTTTTTGTGTGGTTACTCATTTCTGGCTACTGTTTTTTTTCTCCCTATTTTTCATGCTAAGTATTCAGTACTTTTTGTTATCAAATGTTAGGCTGGAGCGTAAAACTCTGAAGAGGAAGAAAGTTTTTGCAACTTTAAAGGTTTTGGGGACGGTATTGGAAGAGCTTACAAAGGAGGTCTCTCCTGAAGATGCAGAAAGGTTGATTCCTGAAGAGGTGGGATTTCTGGTCTTTCTAAAACCTTTTTCATCATTAAGGCTGGAGTTTTGAGTTGTTGGCTGTTTGCATGGTGTAGACTTAAGTTTCCTTTTATTTCTTCCTCATCTACTACAGTATTGTTTAATTTCTTTGTCTCTCCTATTTATGGGTTATTGATTATTTTTTTAAATTTTTTGCACAAATTTCTATACTTTTATGCTCTGAGGATTTATTGTTCTCTTTACTTGTATATCAGGTATATTATTAATTTCTTTTTGTTATTGGTAAAATGGAAGAACAAGAGAAGGCATGGATTGGTTGTGCAAATTCTTGCTTCAACTCATTCGATTTGCTTCTTTGCAGCTGAAACGAGTCATGAAATCTGATGCAGCAATGACAGAGGACCTAATTGCTTATAACATTATACCTCTGGATGTTCCAACCATGACAAATGCCGTTGTGTCATTACCTGAGGTAAAATAGTTTTACATTATTAGGCTTCAGGTTTCTAATTCTTTGCTGGCATTACTCTCTGACTTTCTGAATTTATTGTCAGGTACAAGCTGCAGTGTCAGCTTTAAGATACTTTAGGGGCCTACCAAAGTTGCCTGGTGATTTTTCTATTCCATCCACAAGGAGTGCAGATATATTTGATTTTCTTCAGTATGTTTTTGGATTCCAGGTTTGTACTTAGATCCATGGTTGTGTCCAATATTTTTTGTACATTTGTGTTAGAAATATATGCTAATCATTGGTAGGCAATTGCAATGTGAAATGGGGTGAGTTATATGAGTAAGTGAGATAATGGTGAGGTCCTCCACTTGTATCTTACATGGGTTTTCTAGGAGGATTTTGTATGGATCTTACATGGGTTTTTGGGAGGATTTTGGATTTTGTTTCCTTTTTATTGTTTTTTCTCATACAATCACATTATCTTGGAATGTCCTCTTTTTGGTTGACTGTGTATTCCAAGAGAAATTTAATTTGAGGTAATTGCCTTGATTTGTATTCATGCTTAACTGTATTGGAAGTACCACAGACTTTTTTTGCTGCTTGATCTATAAATGTATGGATATACATCATTGCTTCATTGGAAGTTGGCTTGGTTGTTTTTAATGCTATTGACTGCTACAAATTTACTTTTGTTTTGATTTTTTTCATGGTCCAATCTTGCATTTTGGTTTTTATTTCTTGCGGTCATGCAAAATGTTCCTTTCTGTGTCTTGTGGTTAATGATTTGTTATGGATGTCTCATTAATGGTGTGGATCCTCTGTCCTAATAACTGAATATCTTTTTGGCTGTGCAACAGAAAGACAGTGTTTCTAACCAGCGTGAACATATTGTTCATTTGCTTGCTAATGAACAATCTCGTCTTGGTATTCCTGATGAAAATGAACCGGTGAGTCTTGTATAGCAATTTGTTTCTTCATTACTAATATAATTGGTTCTTTTTAGAGTCACTGTATTTTACTCCACCTTCTTATTTGCAATGTCCATTATCTCATTTTGTTGGATCTGTAGCTATCATGTGTTAAGTCACCTTTATTTGTCTTTCTCTGACCTAGCTATGGAGTCTTTGGAAGTATGGATTAGGTTGGTATTCCCTGTACATGTAATTGTGAAGATAGTACCTATTTTATCACTTATAAGCAGTCAATTGCCATTCTACTTACATCTTCTCCTGTTCTCCACAAATTCATTAGAGGCTATTGCTTGTAGTAAAAAAATTATTCAATTCTGTTTCCTTTCAAACCCCCTAACTTGTGGTGAAGGAGATACTATGGAGTATGGACAGTAGGATATGATCTCTAGATTATTTTTTGCTAATAAAATTAAAAGGAATTCATTAAAAGAAAAAAATATACAAGCAGCATACAGGCTTTGTGGCCCAAGCAAACCAACAGAATAACATTTACAGACCCATGCACTAAAAACAAGAATGCTTGGGCCAACCAAGAAGTGTTCCTCTTCAATTCAGGAAGCTTTTTTGAAAATGTTGAAGGGAAATTCCAAATGCAGTAAGAAGATTTAGAAGACAGAAAACTACTAATGTAGAAGGGAAAATTCCTAATGCAGGAAACTTTTTTTGCCAGGTTAAAGTTGGGAGTATTTGGGACAGGACTAAAGAAGAAGGGAAATAAGACAATTTTTTTTGATCAGCAAGAAGAGAGAAAGTTTCTCAGATGAGAAGTGAGAACTACATTTCAGACTATGGGTACACAGAGAAAATGGATAAAGATTGAGTTGCGTTTTTCATCGCTAGGGATTTGTGGGGATCGAGGTGTTTGGTGGGAGGGTATGCATGATATTTGTTTGGGGTTTTTTGAAGTTGTATCTGGATTTGGATTTCTCAGGGTGTACTAGACTTGGTAGGGCTGATTTTCTGTTTGAGGGGTTTCTTTGTTTTTGGGCAGGTTTTGTCTTTGCTGGGTGATTTCTTATCACCCTGTTGTATCTGCTCTTTGCCTTTTCATTAATAAAGTTTTTTATTTATCTTCAAAAAAAAGGACAGAGACTTGGGTGGAATCTGAGTTGAAGGACTGTTTAGTGATAGATGGCTGTGGTAAACACAAAATATTTCTGAAACTAAAAAGATAAAAAAATCCAAATCCAGGGCAGTTGGTACATGTGACCAAGGTTTTCTTTCATTTGAAGAACGGGCTTTGTGGGGTGGGGCTAAGTAATAAATTCAAAAGAATTTATGAAAGGAAAACGGTGAAAGTGAAAAATGATCACAATAAGGGGAAAGTGGACTCTTTTTTTGATTCATAGAAAGTGGACTCTTTTACACAAGATAAATCAGATACTCCAATAATGGGGGAGGTGGACCTTGCTGATAGACAATCAGAGGAATCAGACATAAATTATGAAATAAAGGATTCAGATAAGGAGGATGAAGGTTCAGAGGGACAAGAGAGTTGTGACAATGAGATCCTAGATCTAACAAGAATGGTAGAGTAGAAATTCGAACTGGAATAAATGGTTGAAGCTGAGGTTCAAGTCAGTGAGATAAGGAAGGGTTGGGTTGCTGAGATTGATGGTGGGTGGAATTGGATTGAGGAGTAAAGGCCTTTTAAAATAGGGGAGAAGAATATAGTTTTGGATTAGTTTGGGTCTGTTTATGGTTGGGATAAATAGGAGTTGGTATATTGCTTCATCTGGCTCATTTTCTTGCACTTCATTCTTTTTGGCCCTGACCCAATCTGCAGACAGTTCTGTTGCCATTTCAGTTAAGGAGGTTTGGAACAAGTCTATCCCCCCTAGGGTAAGTGGTTTTTGTTGGAAAATCTTTATCAACACGTGTGATCTCCAAAGAAAGAGACAAAGTTGGTGCCTTTCCCCAAATTGGTGTATCCTTTGTAAATCTCCCATCCTTTTGTTTCTATTATCCGGGAATGGTTTTTCTCTTTTTTGGTGCAGGTGGAGCCCCCTGCCAAATGTATAGGGCTTGTTTGATTCTTCTTTTGTTAGTTGGAAAAAGAGAAGGGGGGGAATTCTGTGAAGGTGTACAAGAGCAGCGGTATGCTGGACAATTTGGGAAGAAAGGGATCAAATTTTTTTTTTCAGACAAGGAAAGAAGTAGAGAAGGAATCAATGAGGCCATCACAATTAGAGTGATCCAGTGGGTCAGGCCTTTGAGCAGCTTTGATGACATCTCCACAAATGACTTGCATAGGAAGTGGAAGGAGGTGGCAGACTCCTCTCTCCCAAAAGCTATTATCAGGCCGATGTGGTTCGCACCTCCTTGTGGGTTTGCCAAGTCGAATTTGATGGCAGTAGTGAGGGGAAGCCAGGTCCTTCAGGCATTGGAGGTGTTTTCTGGAATGAGGAGGGAAGAATTATTGCTCTATACTTGGGATCAATAGGTGTGGGAGATTCATTGAGGGCAGAAATAATGACGATGATGAAAGGAATTCAAAAGTGAAAGAGCTGAGCATTAGAAGACTGATTATTGAAGGGGCTAAGTTGGTTATAAACTGGCTGCAAAAAGAAGATATTGGTTGGTGGAACTTTATCAAGGAAAGAAGGAAGTTCAATTGCTTAACTGAAAGCACAGAGATTCAGTTGCAGTGGGTAAAAAGGAGTGCAAACGCTTTTGCTGATGCTTTGGCAAAGCAAGGGGTGGGGAGGGATCATATGTTCTGGGTTATGCTGTAAGCTATGTATTTCGATGTCACCTTGGAGAGAGCTAAGAGAGTTTCTCACTTTGTGGTGCTCCATTGTACCTCTTCAGTTTGAATGTTAACCAAGAAAGATCCAAAACACATCACACTAATAGACTGCCGATCGGGCTCCAACCTCTTTGTTCTCACGGTTTTCAATGCTCTGCTCACCTGAAATGGTCATTTTCTCTCAGCTATCAGAGCTTTGGTGCTTCTCAGAGCCATCTCAATCATCTGTGACCCTCAAAACCACTTTCTTCTTTCCTTTGCAATCGTATCTGCAACCACCCAAACCTAACCCTCATCATTTCCTTCCCAAGACTTGTGGGTACCTCCTTAGAGTTAAAGACATATGAACTATTTTAATAGTATATACTTCTTGATAGATGTGTCAGTGAGTCCATATATTCTCATCTTTCTGAGTTAGACTCTTGTGCACGTATCAACTTCTGACTCTTGTGCTCATGTCCATGTGACACTAACGAGGGAAAGTCAACTGAGATGGTTTATTCATATGCATAGATTACAGATGATTGCATCAGTGAAGAGTGAGCTGGTGTAAATCTGGAATGCTTCTTTCATGAATGCATTGTGTCTTGTTCGCCTAACATTTTGCTCTGTAAGGTACTGCTAGTATTGTTGCGATCTTGTGAAGATCTTTTCTTTCAGTCTTAAAGAGATACTTCATCACACAACTCTCCTTTAGTGCATCTCCACTTTATTCACCTCACTCTAATTTTGTGGTTGATATATCCTTGTGTATAAATAATATCCTTTTTTAGGTTAACAATGTAAAGACTTTTTAGTAACAGATCAAAACTTATGGTGAACAGTATAGATGAGATGTTACCTAAAACTTTTCTTTTATGATGGCCAAGTTTTTAATAAATCAGTTAACCGTTGTATTCATAATATTGAATTGATTGCTGCTATACGTAATAAATCTGTGGCTTGCTTTGTAGTTAACTGGATATTTCTTACATGGGAAAATTGCTGTACTTTGACTTCATGCTAGTACATGTTTGTCACGATTCCATGTATTCTTTTGGGTGCAGAAAATTGATGAAGCTGCTGTACAGAGGGTATTTCTCAAGTCCCTTGACAACTACATCAAATGGTGTAACTACTTGTGCATTCAACCAGTGTGGAGCAAGTATGTAATCCAAGAAACATTTCTTCCCTCCCCTCCCCTCTCCTCCCAATCAAAATTTTGTATCGTTGTGTTTTTTTTCTCGATCCATAATTGGTAATGTTTTATTATAATAAGATGTATAAAGTAAGGATTTACAATAGTTCTAGTTGCTATATATACACTCTGAGGATTAAATGGCAAGGGTCAGAGTTTCCAGTTCCTATCAGCCCGGAGAATCCCATTTTAATATTTCAATTATTGTTTCTAAAAGCACCTTCCATACCTGACTAACCTAATGAAACAGTTGTCAAAATTTTATCACATTGTTGTGAGGGTTCCAGTTATGATATGCCTGTCTCCTATCTCTCCTGTAGTAGATTTCAATATCACCATTTTCCATCCCTGAAGAATATCATCAGTAGTGAAGTAAGAAAACTCTTCCATTGTCTTTACCTGATGAATGGCTCTGCTTTCTGTCAACCCAAACTTGATTATCTAGATTGATATTTGTTAGAGAAAATCCTGGAATTCCTTGCTTCCCAAATCATCCATATGATAGTTTCTCTAGCACATCTTCAAAAAATTTCCCCTCTTTGTTATTGGGGGAAAAGGTCTAAAAAGTGTCTTTGTCCTGTAGCAAAGCCCACCTAGCACCAAAAAGAGCAAAAAAAAAAAAGATCCTTTATACTGATCGCAAAGGACAGTAATTAGCATGTAGTGGTTTCATAGCTGGCCTTGTAAGGAAACCACATATGAGGTGAGGTGGTCCAATGAAGCCTTCCTCGTTGGTTATTGTTACTAGATACTCTTTAATAACCCCCACCCCAATTAGGAAACCACATATGAGGTGAGGTGGTCTAATGAAGCCTTCCTCATTGGTTATTGTTACTAGATACTCTTTAATAACCCCCACCCTAATTAGGATCAAAGAAGACTCTCTAGTGATTCCAAAAACATGGTGTCTTCCAACACCTTGTTATCCTTGAGGTCTCTCCTAAATCTAAAATCCCAATAAGAGGAGTTCCCTGAAAAGGAAACACATAGACTAGATTGAATGTCTATAATGGTAAGGAGTATAACCTTGGGATTCTTTGTTTCAATAATGATTCTCCCCAACAAAGGTCTGTCCAAGATCTGACTAAATCTCCCCTTCCTGATACTATCTAATGAATTTGTGAAGGTTATTAAGGATGGATTGGATTTCTTTCCAAAATTGTTCTTTATACCAGTTTTGTATCACATCTATTTGATTGTACCCATGGATATTTTTTTTACAGCATACCGGAACTTAATTGGATCCATAAGAAATCTCCAAAGCCACTTGCCCTATAAGAATATTTCCTTAACATTAATCTACCCAAGCCAATCTCACCTTCTCTGTTTCTTCTGCACATTATAGCCATTTGATAGGAGGATCCTTTTCTGACTCTCCTTGGTTCCCAGAGAGAAGTTCCCATTTTCTTCCAAAAGTTTTGTTTCTGTTTGTTCATGATATTTTCTCTATGTTCCACAATGATTAAAATCAAATGGAAATTGACAATATTTATTTTGCAGTTTGGAGGCTCTGAGCAAGGAAAAGAAATTGTTGTTTGTTTCCTTGTACTTTTTGATCTGGGGTGAAGCTGCCAACATTAGATTTCTTCCAGAATGTTTATGCTACATATTCCATCATGTAAGTTCAAAATTTGAATAATTTGTCACTTATTTTATATCTTAGTGTACACTGATGAAGTCTTGTTTTTTTGGTTCTTTCATTATGTAATCAATGTGAAGTGATGTGTGATGCTATACACTGATTTACATCTCCTCTTTCCATATGGAATTAAAATCATGAATTCTCAGCTTCTGTGCAGGATACTGCTCTTTGATATTAAATAGCTAAGCATGTTTCTACCATGCTTGTTGGTGTTCTGCTCTTCTTGTATTTTGGTATTTTCAGTGATTCACTTCATGCACCTTTTCAATATCCTTTGGTTCTTACTGATAAAAAAATTCCTTGAGGTTCTTCTATGCCATGAGTACTTCTGGCCATTGCAGTTTTAGCCTAGTTATGTGATGGTGTTTGCTTTTCCTTTTAAAACAGGGTTGAATACAATATAACTTCTAATTATTTAATCCTTGTTCAATGTAATTGTCTTGAATAACCTTGTTGTCTTTTTTCCTGTTCTTTTAATCCTCCATCCCCTTTTCATTTTGTTATGGTTCTTATGTTTCTCTTGGGTCTATAAATCTGTTCCTACAGATGGTAAGGGAACTGGATGAGATATTAAGGCAGCAGGTTGCACAGCATGCCAATAGTTGCAGTTCTCAGGATGGTGTATCTTTCCTTGATCAAGTTATTTCTCCTCTATATGAAGTTGTTGCAGCGGTATGTACTAGTAACCATAGTTTGTGCCCTACTTTATGTATGATAACATAGGCCTCTCTTTTGATATTTTATTGATACATGGTTTCATATGCTTATGTTTGCTATTAGCATTAATCATGCATTAGTTGTATTGACATTTATGTTCTCGGGTCTGTAAGTAATGGACCTAGAACTGACCCTATATTTGTTGGGCTTATCAGGTCCAACCCCATAAGACCCAATTATAACTGAAAGGCCCTCTGTTGCTAATTCTCTTGTTCTCTCTTTTCAAATAGTTTCCCTGCAAAATTACAATTTTAGGCATCTTATTGTGAAATTATTATAGGCAAACCATGAGAAACATATATAAAATGCTGGGAAGTATCCTTGTCATGCGCCATAAAAAAAGTATCCTTGTAATGCACTATTACATACATATTGGGACTGAACATGTAAAACCTGCCCCGATCCTATAAATATATTGTAATTGGAATTCAGAAGATGGGGAGAAAAATACTGGAGATAAGTATGGAGCTGCATCCCCTTTGCTGTGTGCTGGCTGGATACTATGGAACAAAAGGAACAGAAGGATCTTTGAAGACAAACTCAAGAGCACAGAAGTTCTGGTGGCTCTGGTAGGGACGCTAATTGCAGATTGGGTTTGGGTGTTACCAGATTTCGGTCAAGTAAACAGATCAGATTTGTGGGAAAATTTCTGGAGTATGCTTGAGATTCAATGATGTAATTGTACCAGTCTTAGTTTTGGACTTTACCTAGTTCAGTTTTTCTTTGTTTTGTAAGCTAGGTGCCATCTTGTCACCTTTTACATGTAACTGATTTTTGCTTTTAATAAAATTTATATTTTACTCTTCAAAAAAAAGTTCTTGACCTCAGGGAGCAGAGGTGAGATGCTGATGTTTTGAGAAGTGAAGAGGGGAACAATATTGTCTGGAGATGAAGTGATAGCCTGGTTCAAAGGTTTTGTAGATGGTGTTGTACATGCAGTCTTGCAGACCAACCGTCATTATGGAGAACTACAACTACCAGAGATAGGCATAGATATCTCACTGAAAGGAAAGATAATAGGATTTTGAGATTCATCTCTTTGGCGGTGTTTGTGCCTAATAGGAAGCAAATCATTTGTAGATCGGAGGGCAGATGGGGGTCATGCTGGGAAGTGACTTCTGATGTCCTTTAGCATTGAGGTTAAGCAGCTGTGGTATGTTAAGAAATGCAAGAAGGTAGAAGAAATAGAGCATCACATTTCAAATGAGGATTTGGAGAAGGTGACATTGTTGGCAACCCCGATAGAGCTAATAAGTAATAATAGCCAAAGAATACTAAGTGGTAGGAAAATTTAATAGCTTCATCAACAGTTTTGAGTTGAAAGAGGTTCCTTTGCTACATGGCCTTTTCACTTTGTCCAATCTTCCGGAGAACCCTACATGCTCTAAGTTGGATAGGTTTTTATTCACAGCAGATTGGGTGGAGCACTGGGGGACTATTAATTCTAGAACATTGCCTAGGGTAACTTTAGATCATTGGCCTATTACTTTAGTGAGAGAGGATCTTGGTACTAGAAGGCCCACACCTTTCAGATTTGAAAACATGTGGTTGTCTCACCCTGGTTTTGTTGAGTCGGTTAAAAATTGGTGGAATGAAAGCAATCCAAGCACTAATTAGGAGGGTATGAAATTCCATTGGAAGTTGAAGGGCTAAAAAGGAAGATCAAGGATTGGAACATTCTACAGTTTGGAAGGATTAAAGAGAGAAAACAGGGAGTGATCAATCAAATTGAGGAGTTGGATGCTAAAGAGGGGCAGGGGGGGGGGGGTTACTTTTGAAGCAAGAGACAAGCAAGAGAGATGGGAGCTCAGAAGACAGCTAGAAGATATTCTGTACAAAGAGGAAGTTAGTTGGAGGCAAAAGTCTAGGCATAAGTGGGTGAAAGAGGGTTGGGGGGGGGTACTTTTGAAGCAAGAGACAATCTAGAGAGATGGGAGCTCAGAAGACAGCTAGAAGATATTCTGTACAAAGAGGAAGTTAGTTGGAGGCAAAAGTCTAGGCATAAGTGGGGGAAAGAGGGCGATAGAAACACTAAATTTTTTCATGCAATGGCCAATGATATGAGGAAAAGTCTGATTACCAAGTTGGAGTTTGATGGGGTGTCTATAACTTAGTAGGATGAGATTGCTAGGGCCTTTGTCGAGAACTTTAAGGCTATTTATAGAAGGCCCTTAAATCAGAGAATCTGGGTAAAAGGTTTTGATTGGAGGAAAAGTCTGATTACCAAGTTGGAGTTTGATGGGGTGTCTATAACTTAGTAGGATGAGATTGCTAGGGCCTTAGTAGGATGAAATTGTCTGAGGAGACTAAGAGGTGGCTCAAAAGAAAGTTTGAGATGGAAGATGTTTATTTTGCCCTTGACAAACAATGGCAAGCAGGGCCTAGTCTCTTATTCTACATTAAGCAAAGTCCACAGTCTCTTATCCCTCTCAGAGGGATCCACCACCACCCCATTCAAGATCTGAATCAGGTTCATGACATTTTCGGCTTCTAAATCCCTTAGGCCTCTTTTAAACCCCAGATCCCAATCAAACCCAAAGTTAGACTGCGAAGGAACCGTAAAACTACACAACCTTGCTTTTATACCAGGAGAAGGAAAATAAGGAAGGAAATTGGTTTTTCAAAGGTACATCACCCACCCAAATGTGCTCCCAAAATTTTATCTAATTCTTAGAGCAAAGGTCATACCTGATGTGCTGCAGAAGAGAAGGTAGAATGGCATGCATATATTTCCAAGGAGAGGCTCCAGTTGACCTTGCCAACCACCCAGTGTCCCAGCCATCCTCTGCTTGACCATGAATACTCAAAATTACCCTAGTCCACAGCTTATCCCTCTCACCTTCCAACATCTTCATTTTTCTTCCAAATGTTCCCTAATACTAACCCTCCATCAGCCCTACTTTTAGAGAGCAATTCCCAATTCACCCTGTGATCCTTCCTCTCCTCCCCTGGTTCCCAGGAAAAGCCCCTCATCAACAAACTGTAAGTGGGTAATAGGTATATTATCTTTCCTAACCCTCCACCCCCTCACAAGACTTCTCGAATCTTCTCTCTCAATTAACTTCCCCAAAACTTCTGCAAACAAGATAAAAAGGAAAGGAGAGAGGGGGTCCCCTTGTCTAATTCCCCTAATAGCCGGAAAGTGATCCACTACAGTTCCATTCACTAGGATGGAATAATAACAAGTCTCAATACAACCCAATATCCATTTGCACCATTTCTTCCCAAATCAAAAGTAATCCAACACTTGCATTAGAAAAGACCAATCAACCATGTCATAGGCCTTCTCCAGGTCCAAATTGCACAAATCCCTTTCTTCTTCGTTCTTCTCAAACCCTCCACACTCATTAGCAATTAAAATTTGATCCACAATCTGTCTATTTCCCACAAGTTGCCATTGCTTCTATTTATATCTGTTCCTAAGAAAATTTCTGTTCTGGAACATCTACTTTGCTTCCTGTTTTTGAGAAACATGGAACACGTTTGACAGAATGTTCCTCAGGAGCATTCTTCTTTCTTTGCATCAATTGAAATTTATAGCCATTGGGAAGAGAAAATACTGCAGCAGACATATAGTCATTCATGTAAATGGGTGTTGAATATGTGCAAACATCAAAAGCATGTCTTTTTGGATGTTTACAATGAGATCACATGACACATTGGCTTTATGAAGAAATCAACATAATGCACCAAATATTTAAGAAAAATGAATAAGAAAAGGGGTTTTCATCGTAAACAGAGATTTAACAAAAGGGTTTTTTCACTAAACAATCTTATCTGTTCACATCAAAAGGGGGTTTTTTGTGCAACGATTCTAAAGATGTATCTCATTAAATGTCGTGGAAAATGTATCATCAAATGGAGCTGCAGATGTATCTCACCAATGATTCTAAAAGAGTGTGGAATGAAGTGGCACACTCTTTTGAGAAGAAAGAAAGAAAGGTGATGGAGTGGAAGCCCCCAGGTCTCAACGAAGTCATGCTGAATTTGATGGGAGCTTTGTAGGAAACCTGGGTCTGGCAGGCATTGATGGTGTGATCAGAAATTCCTCAAGCAAAGTATTTGCGATGTACTCAGGACCTTTAGGGGAAGGTGATTCTTTGAAGGCTTATTAGCTCTGCTACAGGGGTTAAAACTTTCCAAGCAAGCAGATCTTAAGAACTTGGTGATAGAAGGTGACTAAAAATAGTGATATCATGGACCAATTCAAGGGTAATGCTCCTTGGATTTATAGACATCCCTAAAGGGAGATAGTAAGCCTAGCAAGGGAACTCAATGCCTTGTTCACATGGATCAGGAGAACTGCAAATGGGATGGCTGATTCATTAGCCAAACAGGGAGTTCATAAGCTGCAGCTTTTCTGGGTTTTATTATAACACTTTGTGGTGCAATGTCTGCTTTCTACTTGCTGTAATTCTGTAACTGATTCTCTTAATTGAATAAAATTCTCCTTTTTCTGATAAAAAAAAAGAAAGACAAACCCTGGATAATGGTGATGAGAGTGAGAACTATTTTTCAGGACAATTGTGGATGGAACTCTATGAGGCGTTAGCAGTGGAAGTGGGCTTCCTTCGTTGCCCAAGTGCCCAGCATCTTTTTTTTCTTTTGAAATTACCAAACTGCCCCTCTCATGTGAAAACTCTTCCCACGTGTTTGTAAATTAAAAAGATGATATGGGCAACACATGTTCTCAAAGATGTGTTTCTAAGAAATGACAATATCCTCATTTCTTAACAATTTGTTTTGGGAATGACATTCCTGTCTTGGAATAAACAATTTCTTGTCTTAAATGCCTTCCAAATGCATTTCTGTTCTGCAGGAACATCTGGAACACGAGAAACATTCCCACAGAATGATACCAAATGGGGCCCTAGTGATTTTGAAACCTTCTAATTGGAGTTTCTTTGTCCATGCTTTGTCACTATAACTTGTGTCCAGAAGCTTTCAGGCTGTTTTACTGAATGTCCAATGCCAGCCTAGAAGAGCCACATTTACTGTTTTGAGTCTTCTTATTCCCAATCCTCCCCTTTCTAGGCCTGCACACTTTCTTCCAGTTTAGTAATATGAACTTTTTTGTGTTGTTGTTCCTTCTCTTATAAACTTTGTTGAGTTTGTTGTTTGCATTAGATCAGCATAAACAACTTCTCAGGGAAGTTAAAACTTTAGTAATATGGACCAGTTAATGTTTCTTAACTCCTTTTAATTTGTATTACTTTGTAGAAATGCATACCAATCCAATCCTAATTCCTAAGCCTTCCATTGGCAATGCTCACTAGCCACCAGCAAAACATTTTATAATGGCGACCAAATAATTAGTTCTAATTTGACCCAAGTCCACATGCAATCTACCTACAAGCCTAACAAAATTGGGGTTCAAGCTCTTTGATATACATAATTACATTCCTCATTTTTTAGTCCATAATCAATAAAATATTCACTGTTATCAATCAAGAAAAAAAATGCCAACAATTTATCCCCATTGTTTTTGAAAAACACTTCATTACCTGCCCTGGCTCAATCTTACAGACAGAACCATCTCCCACCGTGGTTTCCATCTGAAAAGTTTCAATATCAGCATCTTTTAATCTCCTAGTTCCAGCATTGTTGCTATGTTTGTTTCTATGGCTAAAAAAGTAAAATGTTTTAGATTTGTAAGTTTCATTATCAACATCTTTTCTGCAACTCTTTGGTTTGGATAACATTTTCTGTTTGCATGTCACAATGCAGGAAGCTGCAAATAATGACAATGGACGGGCACCTCATTCTGCCTGGAGAAATTATGATGATTTTAATGAGTACTTTTGGTAGGAGTTTCTTTTGGGGGATTTTTCTTCTTCTTTTTATATAGAAGTCATAGTTGTTACAGCATTGCCTAGGTGACAGGGTACCCTTGGTGGGGTGCCTAGCCTGATCACCATGACTGATATCAGGAAGGCACCCATCTAGTGCCTAGGCAAGAAAATTCACATGGTTGGTATCTTAGTTTAATATTATTACTATGGTTGCATGTTATTAGTATGGTGTTGATACATTGCGTTGTATCTTAATATAGTACTTATACTTTGTTTTAGGATTTTATTATTGAAACATACAAGATCAAAGGGTTTTGAGATGTGAAAAAAAGAAAGAAGGATAAAAGTGGTTTCTCGTTTTTTTTTTGATGATTGGTCTCTCTCTTACATTAAACACAACAGGGTCTCTATTCTTTGTTCTTTTTCCCTTTTAGTTCCTCTTTGCTAATATTTTTTTATTAATATAAATCATGGCATTCTATTAATTTTTTGTTCATCCATTACAACTTTACATATCAGCTGTGGCTAATGGCCCTGTACTGTTTTGGTCTTCAAGGATTTATGCCTGAACCCCTGCTGGTTCTTTTTCAAGGGTGGAGGATGCAGGGCTTTAGCAGAAAAAGGGAAAAGTTTATGGAGCATATTCCCTGCTGCTATCATCTGGGGTGCTTGGGAAGAAAGAAACTTGGGAGTTTTTGACTTTAAATATAATGGCATAGCTGTAGTAAAAAGAATTTTGTAGGCATGCTGTATTCATCGCTAAGTATATAGAAGAATTTTCATGGGTTTCCTATGCAGTCTTTTGTTTAGATGTGGGGACTTTTTTTGCTTAGCTTTTTGTGTCGTCCTATGTACATTCTCTCAATTTATTCAGGTAGTTGTATAGTTTGGCAGCTTATTACATTTAATACAACACTTTTTTCAAAAAAAAGCAATTGCGCTGTTAAATCAATTTGTACATGAAATATTGAAATCTTAAAATTAATTGATTTAAAAATGTTGTTGACTTTTAGACATTATGATCTCCCATGTCTTGAGAGGAAAATTGATGTTATTAATGAAGAAGTGTTGACATTTTTGTAATTTATATGTATGCTGGTTGGTATTATAAAACTAGGGAGCTGACCTAGGATTTTTCCATTGTAAAATTCTATTGCCAGGAAACTAGGCATTCTACTATCATTTAGAATCGCCTATTTGCTTTTGACAACCATGATATAGCACTTTTTATGATTCTTTACTTGATCATATTATCAGGTCACTTAACTGCTTTGAACTTAGCTGGCCATGGCGCAGAAATTCACTGTTTTTTATGAAGCCCAAGCCAAGGTCAAAGGTAGGTCACTTCTGATCATGGTGTAACCTTTACATTTTGTGTGTTTGTGTACGCTAACTTCTCTGGTATGGGAATTCTTATTGTCCTGGTTGGTATACAACGATTTACATCATGTTTATCTGTTCTCAAGGTTCTATGGCATTAGCCATGTCTGGCTGTTTTGGTCTGGTTAATCTAGAGATGCAAGTAGAAGATAAGAAAATACTTCACATTTATACTATTAAGATTTCAATCCTGGGCCTTTAGAACAGCTTTTGCTTTTCATACATACATATGATATATTTATGTAAAGACTAGTAAGCAGTCTGACCAAGCCCTTAACCATAGTTATCAAGGTAATGCCTAGGCGATGGAGTGCTTTTGTATCATGCCAATTTTTGCATACATGTTCAGTTTCCTCTTAGGCAAGGAAAAGGTTAAAGGATAGGCAGGTGTTTTCTCATATGTTGTCAACCATTGTGTATTCACTTGCTTATTTGCTCACATTGGATTTATTGTAATTCTCCATTGCTTGGATTCACTATGCTTTGGACTTGTTTCTATTCTTCTATTGAACTCTTTCTAAGTTGGTCAATGAAAATTCATGAGTTTAAATCACTGATTTAAAAGCTGTGCCTAGGCGCACAAGCGAGGCGCATTTTGGGGTATGTGCCTTGCCTAGGTCCTAGGCGCATGCCTGGTGTGCCTAGGTGTGTGCATGATGTGCCTTGCGCCTTGTGCACCCCTTTCATTCATTCATTGCAATAAAATATCTTCTTAAAAGGCAACGAAAGTTATACAATCATTTATTTTTATGTGAGAAATAAGAATTTCAGACCCTAACATAGACTTGTTTGGGCTTGCCTTGAGGGGCGTAGTACAAAGGTGACTCATAGAATCAAGAATGCAATATGGTTTACATCACATTAGCTACTTGAAGCAATGCAATTAAGGAAAAAAAGAGATTGTGGGTTTTACATGCTTGAAAATGCTTTATATGTTTGCTTTTATTTTTAAATTTTCATTTGAATATGCTTTACATGCTATGTTTATGTATTTTAATTTTAGATAATAGGTTTTTTAAAACATTTATTTTAAAATTTAAGTTTATATTTTTTATTAACATTAAGTTTAATATTTTTTGCATTTTTTTAAAGTTTTTTGGCATTCTTTTTTGAAATTTCTGACTTTTTTTTTGTAATTTTGTGCCTTGCTTAAAAAGGCGCACGCCTCGCCTTGTGCCTTGTGCCTAAGGCACAAATTGGCCCTTGCGCTTTTTTTGCGCCTTGCACTTTTAAAAGACTGGTTTAAATATGCATTACTGCTTTGCTGAATGCAGTTGATTATATTGCGCATGGAATATTGAAATTTATTGATTGAAAGAAATATTTTTCAATTGACATTATTGATAGTAATATTTCCTTATGAGGTTAATGGTGCAATTGTCTTGATATGCAAATTTTATTGCTATTGGCTTTCTTTTAATATTTCTCAGTACAGAACCATAAGAAATTGAAAATGTGCCACATGTCAACATGGATTTTATCCAATTATAGGTCTTATTTGTGAAAAACCGTTGCCTAATCAGCACCTAGTTGGCACCTAGGCACCTGCTTATGCAGCAAGGTGGAGTCCTGTTGTCTAGTTTGGCCTTGTTGCCTTGACAACTATGGCCTCCACTGCTGCATTGACCAAGCTTACATTTGGTAGGAATTTTTTTGGTCAAAATACAATCCCATATTGTGACAAACGTTTTTTCTTTTGATAAATGAAAGTAGTTTTATTAATTCAAAAAATAGCAGTACATTCAGCCTAGGAAGAGGCACGTGGTGTTACCTCCCCTAGGACTGAGTCATAAACACTAAACAAACACAAGCCTGAAGTACAGTTACAAAGTGGCCCAAAACAGATCCCCCCTTGACACCCCTTGCTTCCACATTGTGACAAACGTTGACCTGGATTTTGCTTGGTCCAACCTTAGTTGCATTACTGGTTATGTCAATTACTCGAGAATATGGTTGCATTCCTTTATTAGCATTTGTTGTTGTTGTTTATCATAATCATCATCTTCATCACTACAAGGTTTCATTTTAACCGCAATAAGGTTTTTCCCCCCATCCTAGTAAACATTTTCAATAATTTTGTTTTGTATACAGAGTTTTCTTGGAAACAGTGGGAGTCAGCATCGAGGGAAGACTTCTTTTGTCGAGCATCGGACATTTCTTCATCTTTACCATAGTTTCCACCGACTTTGGATATTTCTTGTCATGATGTTTCAGGTTTAGATTTAATTTACATGTTGTTATACTTATCAGTTATTTTTTAGTGCAACTGTGATTCTTTTTGAACTGAGAGAATATATGTGCATGAGCATGTTTGTATGCATTTGTTCTTTCTGTTTTCACATTTATGCATCTCTGTGCATAGGATTGATCAATTGTTAGAGTTAATAGCTTTTTCTCTTCTCTAATGTCAATGCTCCAGTATAGCTACTAAGTCCAATATAAGTGCGTTCCCAGAAATAAAAAGGGCTATGGTTCTCCTATATTCCACCTATAGTTTCCTTCTTTGTTTGGGAATCTTTTGTCGATGTATTAAAACTTTTGACCTGCCATAAAGGATTTATTTATGACAACTACATATCTTTTAAATTCTGCATCACATTCCTTAAGGATAACGGATCTACTTCCTTATCCTCTTACAGTATGAGGTCACTAGAAAACTATGACACTTCTTCTTGGGGCTCTTCAGATTGCAATGGATGACACACAGTGGTAGTCTGAGGGGGGTACATGCAGATTTATTGGCAGATTTGTTCAATTGTAAAGTTGGTAAATTTCCCACAAGATACTTGGGGCTTCCACTAGGAGAGAAGTGCATTTCAAAATCAGTTTGAAATCTGGTGATTTGAGAGGGTGGAAAGAAGGCTTTCATGGTGGAAAACTAAGTTCTTATCTAAAGTGGGTAAAGTCACTTTGATTAAGAGTGTTTGGAGTTCCCTGCCTACATATCCTCTCTTTATTTCCCATTCCGGTTAGTAGGGAGATTGGAAAAATTGATGAGGGATTTTTATGGAGTGTCTGGAAGGATGAGGGGAAAGTTCACTTAGTGGGCTGGAAAATGGTTCGTCAACCTAAAGAATGTGGTGGTTTGAGAATAAGGAATGAACTTGAAGCTCTTCAACAAGGCCCTTTTAGGTAGGGGTGTTAATGGACCAGTTTTTGGTTGGACCTGACCAATTCAAAATCAATTTGGATGGCTTGACTGGAGCAATAAGACATTGAGTTGGACCAGTCCATACTTAATGGTCCAAAGTATTTATTGGATTGGATTGGACCTGTTCTTTCCATAATGGATTTATATTGGATTGGGTCAGATTGAAGCAACATTTGGTCTATTGATAGAAGATAAGAATATAGGTGCCAATGCACCATGTTTGGGTTGGAATTAATCTAAATTAAAACCAATTTGAACAGATTGGACGTAGAGATGGCAATTTGGCCCGTCCCCATGGGGCCTCACCCTACCCTGATTGGGGTGCGTTTTTTGACCACTGATCGAGGTTCGGGGAAAACCCGAAACTCTGGAGATTAGGGACAGGGCAGGGCTGGTATTTGTCCATCCTGCCTTGACACTGGCCATATATATATATATAGTTGCTAATATATGTTATATTTTATTATAATATTATATATTATATTATAATATATTATATTTCATAATATAAAATAGTTCTAGTGAGGTTTAAAAAAAAATTTGTAAGTATACAAGTAGGAATGATCGAGGCTGAGCGGGCAAATTCGGGGATTCCTGTTCCCTGTGGGGATGGGGATGTTTTAGGATTTCTAATCCCACCGGGCTTCGGGGTAGGGACAGGATAGGGCATTTGAGTTCAGGGACAGGACAGGTAAAACTTGGCCCTGCCCTGCCCTGTTGCCATTCCTAATTGGATGGTCCAAACATTGAATTGGACTGATCCAAAATGGTGCAAAGTATTCATCGGGTTGGATTCGACCTGATCCATCTGTAATGGACTCATATTGGACCAAATCCGGTCCAATTGACACCCCTTCTTTTTAGGGAAGTAGCATTGGAGATTTAATGGGGAGGTGGACAGCCTATGGAGGGAAATGGGATTGGGGATAGTCTTTGGGAGTACAAAGTTGTAATTTGGACATTTGGTGATGATTAGTTTTGTTTTTGTTTTTGTTGCTGTTTGAATTGGTTCTTGGTGTTGCCTTAACACCTTGTCAGATTGTATTTGATAGCTGGGATCCAGGTGATGTTACCCTTACTTGCAGGTGTGTCCTGTGGAAATGTATTCAAAGTACCAAATCAGACTTTTTAAAAGGAATTAGATATAAAATTGGGGATGGTACTAGGGTAATGTTTTGGGGTGACCTCTGGTATGAAGAAACTAGGCTGAAAGAGATCTATCATGGGCTGTTTGACTTGGCTGTTAACATGGAACTTTGGTGGGAAGACTTGTTGATGCTTCAAAATGGTACAGCAGTGTGGTCTCCTACTTTCAGGAGGAACTTTAAAGATTGGGAGGTGGAGCAATTGGCTGACCTTTTGTATAAACTTTACAGCTTTATCCCTAGTAGATCAGGAGAAGTTGACAGAATAGAATGGAGATGGTGCAAGATGGTAGTTTTTCAGTTAAGTCTTTTTTTTAGTTAGCTGGTGGAGAGGGAGGATGCAGTTTTCCTTGGTAGTGTTTGGTATAAAGCTGTTCCAAAGAAGGTTGCGTTTCTAATGTGGACTGCATCTCTAAACAAATGTCTAACTAGAGATAATTTGCTGAAAGGAGGTGTTTTAGTTGATAGCACTAACTGCATCTTCTGTATCGAGGAAGCGGAATCTGTTGATCACTTATTTCTGCATTGTTTTTTTTCTTTTGCTTGAAGGTTGTGGTCTAAAGTATTGGATTGTTGGACATTTTTGGACTACACTTTTTTTTTCCAAAATCTGTGGTGGAGCTTTTAACTAGTTGGCAGTTGGAAGGGTCTGAGTAGAAAGGAAAGTAGTTTAGAAAGTGGTTCCTTTGGCATTCTTTTGGACTGTGTGGATGGAAAGAAATGGCTGTACTTTTGAAGATTTGAAAAAAAAAAAGAAAACAGGAGAAAAATTGTAAAGGAATTATGGGGTAGAATTCACTCTTCGTTTGCTAATGCAGGAGAACAGGTCTGTCAAATCTGTTCTAATGATATTTACAGCAAAAATTACCCACACTGATTTAGAAATTCAAGAGAAAGAAAGAAAATAGAGTGAAGAAAGGAAAAACAGCGTAATCTTGAAGTAAAGGAATATCCTTCTTTCTCTTTTAAACAGAAACTAATGATGTTCCTATATAGGGGTTCTGTTTAGGTCAGCAGCCAATAAATTCCTGAAATTACAAAAATGTTCCTGTACCAAAATAATAAAAAAACTCAAAAATAACCTTATCTAATAGTTATATATACCCTTACCCTATAAGACTCTTCCTAATAATAATAATTCACTAGAAATCATTAACTGATTAAGAAACAACCTAGGAAATTATTAAACCGAAATTAAAACAAGAAAATAGCTAAATTCAAGCACGTGACTGCTTCACTTTCTTGTTCATTTTAGATTTGCCACGTGTTTCTTCATAATTAAGTGCAACAGCCTCTACATCAGTCCCCTCCACTTGAAGAGGACTGACTCTCAAGTCTTGTTTGGAGATGGGTGGATAATACTCAGAGATCAGCAACATTGAAAGTTCTAGATATATTCATGGAAGTGGGAAAGTAAACTCTTGTAAGAAGGCTATCCAACTGGCATGCAGTCAGTTAGTAGTGTTTGTGTTATTAGTATACTTCAAAGCTTGGTGATGTTTATGAAACAAACTCCCTTTGGAACAAATAATGCTTCCAGTGCTTCATAGCCTGCACTACTGTATATAGCCCTTGGTCATAGGTAGACCATTTCCTTCCTGCTTCATTTAACTTTTCACTACAGAAAGCCATTAGTCGATTCTCGTGAGACTGTACAGCAGCTATACCTGTCATAGAAGCATCACTTCCATCTCAAATAACTTACCGAAGTTTTTCACTACAGAAAGCCATTGGTCGATTCTCGTGAGACTGTACAGCAGTTATACCTGTCATAGAAGCATCACTTCCATCTCAAATAACTTATCAAAGTTTTTCATGCTTTTAGTGTCCTTTGAAACTGCTTTTTCAAGCAATTAGTAATAGGACTGACAATGCTGCTGAAATATTGTGGAAATCACCCGTAGAAAGTAGCCAAACCAAGGAAAGATTGCTCCTCATATACATTTTTAGATGTAGGCCAGTCTCTAATTGCCTTAACCTTTTTCTCATCAAACCCAAGAAACACAATCTATTTGGCCATAAAACTGCACTTCTTAAGGTTGGCATAAATTTGATTTTGGTGGACAATCTCAAATACTTCCCACAAATGTTGTAGGCATTCGTTCTCATCCTTGCTACACTAGGATATCATCAAAATATACTACCACACACTTGCCAATCAATGTCTTCAAAACATGGTTCATCAGCCTCATGAATGTGCTAGGGGCATTGGAAAGTCCAAAAGGCATAACGTTCCACTTATACAATCCTTCTTTTGTATTGAAAGCCGTTTTCCATTCATCTCTAGGCAGATTCTGATTCAGTGATAACCACTCTTCAAATCTATCATAGAAAACATTGTTGCCTCATGAAGCATATCTAACATATCGTTCAACCTAGGGATTAGAAGTCGATATTGAATGGTTATTTTATTGATGGCCCTACTGTCCACACACATCCTACAACTTCCATCCTTATTTGGTTTAAGACTGGAATAGAACAAGGGCTTGTACTGATTTGCACTACTCCATTCCTTAGCAGTTAAGCTACTTGCCCTTGGAGTATCTCATGCTTCTTAAGACTCATTCTATGGTGTGGAAAATTCGGCAAACTAGCCCCCAGAATCAAGTCAATAGCATGCTGTATTTTCCTCAGAGGAGGCAATCTATCAGGTAATTGTTCAGGGAAGACACTTTTATATTCTTTAAATAAGGGTTTCATGGCATCGGGAATACCATTAGGTGGGGACCTTCACCCTTGGTGACAATAGCATAGATCTACCTAGTCTCCTTGGATTCCTCCAAAAATCTTTGAGTAAGAAGGATACACACCTTCACTTGAGAAGATTTGGGTTATTCCTTCATTCCCAAAGGTGCAAGAACAATCTTTTGTTTATCTTTAGTGAAAATATATAGCTTATCCTTGCCCCTAGGAGGGACATCATAACGGAATTGCCAAGGTCTTCCCAAATAATGTGGCAAACATCAATATCTATAATATCAAATAGTAATTCTTCAAATTATACATTATCAACAGAGAAGGCCACCTTGCACTGTTGGGATTAGTGCTAGGTCAAATTGTCAAGCCCAACTGCTCTACAATTGATTTGGAAATGACATTTGCTTTTGTCCCACTATCATTGATCAAGTCACACACCATGTCTTTTATTCTACATTGTGTCTTGAAGATTTTCTTCCCTTGTGTGTCAAGCCAGTGTTTTAAAAGCGCAAGGCGCAGGGGTCAATTTGCGCCTGAGGCACAAGGCGAGGTGCACGCCTTTTTGAAGCAAGGTGCAAAAATACAGAAAAATGCTAAAAAATAAAAAAAATGTCAGAAAATTCAAAAAAATGCCAAAAAATTCAAAAATAAAAAAATAAAAAATATTAAACATAAAATACTAAAAATATAAAGTTAAATTTTAAAATAATACTTTAAAAAACCTATTATCTAAAATTAAAATACATAAACATAAGATGTAAAGCATATTCAAATGAGAATTTAAAAATAAAATCAAACATTTAAAACATTTTCAAGCATATAAAACCTCTAATCTCTTTTTTTCACTCAATTGCAGTACTTCACATAGCTATGTAATGTAAAACATATTACATTCCTGATTGTACGAGCTGCCTTTGTGCCACGCCCCTCGAGGAAAGCCCAAACAAGTCCACGTTAGGTCTTAAATTCTTAGTTTTCACACAAAAAAGAATGATTTTATAGTTTTATTTGCTTTTTAATAATATAGTTTATTAGGATGAATGAATGAACAACATTACCAAATTGAGGCTGAGGCGAGGCGCATCAGGCGCACGCCTGGGCTGAGGTGCAAGGCGCATCAGGCGCACCAGGCATGCGCCTTTTGAAAGGGCTGCGCCTAGGACCTAGGCGAGGCGCATACGCTGAAATGCGCCTCACCTGTGCGCCTTTAAATCACTGTGTCAAGCATGGGTTGCTTGGCTGCACAAAGAATATGCTTGACCATACCAAAAGATCTCTCTTCTAGAGAATCCCAATGAATATCGTCTCCTAAAACCTCTTCATTATCAACAATAGGTTCTTCATTTTGAGGTTGGAAGCTTGGGCTGTCTTCCAATTGTTCAGTCATATTTACTCTTGTGCGTGGTCGTGGGCAAGAGCTAGAAGTGTTACCACTTCCCCTACACCTATAATGCACAAGGATTGTTATTTCTTGGTTGATTACCTTGTTGGACAGGTTGATTTTTTTTGTGTTTGAGGCTAAATTCGTTGCCCTCTTGGATGGTTCTTTTGGTGGAGAGTATTATGCAATGGGGCAGTAGGCATTCCAGCCTTAGAAGCTTTCAAGGGAGAGTGCTGGTACTCCCTAAAAACCTCTTTCCCCTTCTCAATGGTAGTCTCAACCCTAGATGTTTCACCCAAGTAGTGCCTTCCCAAAGTCTGGTGTCTAATGGGGTATTGTTCAAGATGTCTTTCAGCCTTTATAGTTAAACAAATAGCCTCATTTAAATGCCATGCATCTTGGGCTACAACTCTTTCTTGTATGATTGGTTTGAGACTAAATAAATTGAGCAACCTTTTGTGATGGAGTTTCAGCCAACTCATTACGGACTGAAAGCTTGTAAAATTCAGATGCATGCTCCTAAACACTACATGTACCTTGCACACAATACTGGTCTTGTTGGATATGTGTTGGTCATAATCACATGGAAGGGATTGAGCCCGGACCCGAAATAACTGCTTTTTTGACCATGTCCTAATAGGTTGCTTTCCAGCTCTAACTCTCTCCATTTGAACTTGATCCTACCAAGCAGCAGCTCCCCCTTTCATCTTATAAGAGATCAATTTGTCCTTATTTTTTGCTGTCTTGGCAAAACCAAAGAATTTCCACACCTAATTAATCTAATCTGGGAAATCTTCAATATGCAACTGTCCATTGAAGATTGGCAACTCAGTCTGCATCTTGTATTCCCTATCACCATTGTTTCTTCTTCTGGATGGCTGTTTAGCATCAATTGACCTTCCTATACCTTGACTTTCATCTTTAAAATCATCAGAATATTCAGCTGTTGCAGTGTTGCTAGGGCTTGGAAATATGGTTGTTCTTGGGGCTGGACCACCACCCATAGCTGAAACTGAGTCCTTAGATCAACTTTCCTTGCTGGTAGAACAGACAAATTCCTAGTTTCTTCTTGCATTGGGGTGGTACTAGGCAGCCGAAGATTGGTCCTAGTGATTATTTCAGTCAACTGTGTATTGGCAGCTTCTAAACCTTGAAGTGATGCAGCTTGTTGCTGCTGTAACTGTCTGATCGCTGAGAGGATCTCAGATCCACCGTTGGAAGCATTGTTGTGGGCCATGTCCGAGAGGAAACTCGGGCTCTGATGCCACCAAATGCAGGAGAATGGTCTATATCTGTTCTAGTGATTTTAACAGCAAAAATTACCCAAACTGATTGAGAAATTCAAGAGAAAGAAAGAAAATAGTGTGAAGAATAGAAAAACAGTGTTCTTAAGCTTGAAGTAATAGAATAACCTTCTTTTCTTTAAACAGCAGGTGATAATGTTATAGGGGTTCTGTTTGGTCAGCAGCCAATAAAACCTTGAAATTACAAAAATATCCCTGTTCCAAAATAATAAGAAAAAACCAAAACTAACCTTATCTAATTGCTATATATACCCTATAAGACTCTTCGTAACAGTAATAATCCACTAGAAATCTTAACTGACTGTGAAACAGCCTAGGAAATCATCAAAACAAAATTAAAACAAGAAAATAGTTAAATTCAAGCATGTGACTACTTCACTTTCTTGTTTTTTTTTGAGAAACAACTACTTCACTTTCTTGTTCCTTTTAGATTTGTCACGTTTTTCTTCATAATTAAGTGCTGCAGCCTCTACATCAGTTGCAGTGAACAGAAGTTCTACATATATATCATACAACTCTTTGTTGAATTCTATTTTGTTATTTTGTAATGATTGAGTAATACTTTTTGTATAGTTGGAGCTAATGTTTGCACAGTTTCTTGCTGTGTAGGTGTGGGGGTGTTCATTTTTTTTTTTTTATATTTTCAATACAATACAATACCTTTGCTTCAAACAAAGAAAACATAACCAACGACTATTTCCAGCATGATAAGGCCAAACATATTGAAGTTGTCATTTTCATAGTTTTCAGGGCACCAAGGTGAGGCTAGGCGACAGGGGGGGTGCCCTGTTGCCTTCCGCCTAGGCTATGGATTTTTTTAAGTAAAACCATATATCCTAGGGTAGTTCCCTAAGTTCCATAACCATCTTTCCTTAATAATTATCCATAATTTTCATAAGAGAAGTATAAATTTCATGTTTAAGTTTAGAAAATCAACATTTAATGAGAAGAAAAGAACTAAAAGAAAGAAAATTAAAAAAATATAGGGGCTGAATAGGGGTTACTGGTTTTTGGAAAATCGGTAACTAAAACCAAACTGAAGCCGATCGGTTAATCGGTTGACTGGTTTGGTTCGCCAGTTTTTTATTATTTACAATATATTATAAAAATATATAAATATATAATAAAACACTAGAAATATTATAAAATATTATATTTTAAATAATAAATAATATGTTATATATTATAAATATATATTTATATATATATAATGCATATTTATTAATTTATAATGTATAGAAAATGTAATATATATATATATATAATATACATAAAATATATTTAGATATATGTATATTGGTCAGTTCGGTTAACCACCAGTTTTCTATTTTGGTTAACTGAAACTGAACCAGTACCTTCGTTTTTTTTAAAATACGAACCGAAACCGAACCGACCTTTTCGGTTAACCAAATTTTCGGTTTGGTTTCGGTCGGTTCGGTTTTTCGATTTTTCTTGCTCACTCCTAGGGCTGAACCCCTACTTTTTTTATAGGAAAAGAAGAAAAGAAAATGTGTTGATTAGACAATTTTAAGTTCTTCCCTTTCTTATTGGTTTAGGTTTTGAAATCTTTGAGGGTTCAATCAAGGATCAGAATTTTGATACGATACGCTCTGTATCGGGTGTATTGTATTGTATCTTTGGGGTCTCGATACATCTGTTTATAGGTGTTTTTGGGGACCCATTTTTTTAAATAATATATATATTTAAAAATGAATTTGAAAATCAAAGAAATAAAAAAAGTAGGGGGAGTATCATTATAAGTACCAATACTCCTTTGCCAATACACAAAGGTGTATCGATACTTTGAACCATTGGTTTTTTACATCAGTTAGCAATGTTTGTGTTGATTAAACCTTAACAAATAAGAAAATAATAAAAAGAAATTAGTATATAAACACATAAAATGAATATTCTAGTTTAATAATGCCTATTTTATAATTATAATGTCAAAAAATTAAAATATAAAAGTATTTTATAACAAAGTGCACAAAATTGCTTGGCGACTGGGTGAGGCGAGCCTCCAATGGCGCCTTGTATTGGGTATGATTGGTATCTACCTCACAAGAGGGAGGTTTGTATTGGTGTATCTTAACATAAAATGTTGTTGAAGGGTATTCATATTTTTTATTGGTAAGTTTAAAACACTCCAAATAAAAATATTAGTTTGAACACCCTACACATTCTTTTGGCTCATCATTTGCTAACTCCCTTCTTCTTTTCTTCACCTCTTCCCTTCTCTTCTAAACTATGATAGATAAGGCTTCTCTTTTTGAAAAGCTTGTAAAGATATTGCAGTACCCTTTTTTCTTCTTGGTCCTCTTTCTTAATAATCGGAGAATCTGATTTTTGGACCTTATTTTGTTTCGTATCTTTAACTGTTCTTCAGGCTTTCTAAATTTTGGTTCTTGTATCACCAGGGGCTGACTATTATTGCCTTCAACAAAGGGAATCTCAACATTAAGACTCTAAGAGAAGTTCTTAGTCTTGGCCCAACCTTTGTTATAATGAAATTTTTTGAAAGTAGGTTCCTGAAACTCTTGGATTGTGGACTTTATTACTATTAGTTCATATAGCTTTAGGTGCTTTTTAGGACATGTAAGAAGTAGGAACTGGTAAATTATGAAGTTGCTCTTGCTTTATTTATTTTTCCTATAACTTCTTTTTTTTTTTTCTTTTTGTTTTTCTTCCTTATGTCACAGGTGTGCTGGATATTTTCATGATGTATGGTGCATATTCTACAACGCGTCGTGTAGCTGTTTCTCGAATATTTCTCCGTTTCCTTTGGTTTGGCATTGCTTCAGTTTTCCTGTCTTTCCTTTATGTGTAGGTTTTCTTTACTTTTTCATATTTTAGAGTATTTTATCTTTTGTGGCCATTTTCCCAATGGGTTAAGAAATAACTTGCAATTGTTCTATATCTTGTAATTGCAGGAAAGCTTTGCAGGATCCACATTCAGTTCTTTTCAAGATATATATCTTTGTTCTAGGAATTTATGCTGCTGTCCAGCTTTTTCTTAGTGTTCTAATGCGGATACCAGCATGCCATAGTTTGACCAACCAATGTGATCGCTGGTCTCTTGTTCGCTTTGTGAAATGGATGCATCAGGTTTGTCTTTTTTATGCTTCCATGTAATCAACCTTGTTCTTTTTTACTTGGCTTATTAAGCTGAAGTTTTCTTATGTTGGTCATGGTCTGACATGTCATGTTGTCTTTTTTCAATTAATGAAGGAACAATATTATGTTGGACGTGCGATGTATGAAAGGTCAAGTGATTTTATCAAGTAAGCTATTGCTATTCAATCTCCCCTCCCCTTCAGATTAACTTACATCCTGCTGCACACAGTGAATAATGTTCTGACTTGTGACAATATTCTCAATGCCTTCCTTATGATTTTATTATGGGTATAATATTCTCTTAAAAACAATACAATTGCCACATCCCTTTAGCAAGGGCAATCATCTGTGATATGGATGTGAGGGTTCTGAAATTGTGTTAGTATCTCTTTTGGAGGGCTGTCTGAATGTAGTTTTTGGATGTGAGGGTTCTAAAAATGCAATTAGTTGGGCTGTTAATAGGAACCTTGGTCCGTGGAAATTGACTAACTTCCTTCATGAGATTCATTGTCTCTCATCTATGCTGAGTTACTCCTGATGGATCCAAGAGGAATGAATTTGGTGGCTGACTCTCTTGCCAAATCTGGGATGGATAGGGATTTTTTGTATAGTGCTAGTACTTCACCTCTGTAATTCTTGTTTTTTTTTTTTTTTTGTTTGGGGTCTTTTTGCTCTCCTATTTGTACATCTCCTTATGTACATCTGGCTTGTCACCTTGAAATGATTCGTTACCTTTTAAAACAATTTGTAATTTGATGGCTTGTCAAATTTGGGATGGATAGGGATTTTTTTGTATAGTGCTAGTACTTTACCTCTGTAATTCTTGTTTTTTTTTTTGTCTGGGGTTATATATATATATATATATATATATATATATACTGGTAATGCATAAACCAAACACTTTGATTTATTTTTGAGAGAAGGTAAAGTATAGGTATATTAATGATCAAAAGAAGCGTCAAATTCAACAAGATGCTGTACTCAGGGACTATACAAAATTGCCCTTTCAGCACTATACCCCATACCCTGTTTTAGAGAACAATTGCCATTTACAAAAAAGGAACTAAAACCTATATTTTAAAACAATTTGTGTGCAGTTAGCCAAGAGAAGTACATTCCAAACCGACTTTCCTTTTTTACTCAAACTATCTACCCCCAGCCCTTTATAAACTCCACCACTGGACCTGGTCAACAGCTCTTCACTCCAAACAGATTCCATATTTTAACCCAGACTTCATAGGAGAATTTGCAATGTAACAAAGGTGGTTTACTGATTCTGAGTACCCTTCACATAAAACACAGTCAGTTGAATCTAACACCAATCCCCTACTCACGAGGTTGCCTCCTGTAAGGATTCTATTTAAGTAAGCAATCCATTCAAAATAGGTTATGTAAGCAGTCCATACCTTACAGTTTTCTCTATGCTCTTTATTGAGAATGTAAGCTCTTGGTTTAGTGGATACTGGATCTTAGAAACTAGCCAAAGTTTATCTTGCATGCTTATTACCTTGCCTTTAGTGATCGGACCTCTGCAGTCCCAAAGGGAAGTGTTTCCTTTAAATTCAGATTTTCTTTCAACAAATATGTTTTCACATACCTTCCTTATTGTTCTTTTGCATTTGCTCTTTTATGTGGTGCAGGTATATGCTTTTCTGGCTTGTTGTTTTGGGCTGCAAATTTTCATTTGCCTACTTTCTTCTGGAAAGTAACATTTATTTATTTCTTGGTAATGGTTTTCTTGCCATTTCTTTTGTTACATTGCTTTTTTAACACTGTTGAATTGATTTTTACAGATCAAGCCACTGGTGGAACCAACGAAGGTCATTGTAACTTATGATACTTTACAATATTCATGGCATGATTTCGTGTCTAAACGTAAGCACTCAAACATCTCATTATATTTAAAAAGTGTTGTCAGTCTCAGACCAGACCGGACAGTTGAACCTGTGACCTGATGAGATTTCTTTTTAACCAGTAAAACAGTTACCTAGTGAGCTTTCTGGGTGCTGTCCTGTCTGAGTCTGAACATATTGCTTATACATTCATATAGTATGCCAGGTGTATCTATTTGTAACTGTTTTTGTCTTTGTTCACTTGTTCATCTTATAGGGAGATGATATTTAAAATTTTGAGGAAAATAGTGTACTGGGTGGGTATATTTAATTAATCAGGATAATAGTAGTGGTATGGTCAGCTGTGTGCTAATAACTTATGACGAGATGAGTCTTTCCAATTAAAGTAGGTTTATACAATTTAGCGAGATGTAAATCAGTCCTCGAATATTAGGTGTAAATTTGAAGATTAGAGGGAAAAAAAGGAAGAAGAGAAGTAAGAGCAACAGTACAAGAGAAGAAGATGGTGAAAAGAGAAGGAAGAAGAAGAAAGGTTCAAATTATCTTCCCTTTCTCCTCTAATCCTTTTTTATTAAGAATTAATGTTCGAGTAATGACAAGTATGCCCTTAAGTGGGCGGCCAGCTAGGCAGTAACATAAAGAGATTAAACAAAAAGAAATAAGAGGCCCATTAGCCAACAAGAAAAGAAAAGATATTTCAAGAGAAGATACTAGGACCCATTCGACCCAGTCTCTTGACACTCCCCATCAAGCTGAGCATAGATGTCAATCATGCCCAACTTGCTTATATAGTGTGTCATTTTCCCTCTTGGAACTCCCTTGGTCAAGATATTAACCAATTGTTCGTCTGATGTGATGAATGGCAAACAAACTTCTCTTGAGAAAACTCTTTCCCTTATACAATGTCTATCAACCTCAATGTGCTTAGTTCTGTCATGTTGAACAGGATTATGTGCAATGTTGATAGTTGCTTGGTTGTCACAGTAGAGCATCATTGGCTTCTCGTAGTCAACCCCCAATTCTTCTAAAAGGGATCGTAGCTACAGTAATTCTGACACATCATGTGCCATTGCCCTGTATTCTGCTTCAGCTGAGGATCTAGCAACTACAGACCGTTTCTTACTCCTCCATGACACAATGTTCCCAACAACTAGAGCACAATAACCTGAGGTGGATCTCCTATCATCAATACATCCTGCCCAATCAGCATTAGTAAAAGCTTCTAGCTTCATGTGTCTATGTTTGGCAAAGAAAATACCTTTCCCTAGAGTACCTTTGAAGTAACATAGAACCCTTTCTGCAGCAGCTAAATGAGTACCTTTGGGAGAATGCATAAATTGAATAATAACACTTGCTGCATAGGAAATATCTGGCCAAGTAATGCAAAAATATAACAACTTCCCAAGCAGTCTCTRAAACACCCCCTTATCAGATAAAAGCTCACCATCTGTAGCAGAAAGCTTATGATTGGGATCAATAGGAGTGGAGATTGGTTTAGCTCCAAGTTTACTAGTCTCAGCAAGGAGGTCAAGGACATATTTACGCTGAGAAATGAAGATACCATCCTTAGATCTAGCAACTTCAATGCCCAAAAAATACCGAAGATCTCCCAAATCCTTGATCTCAAATTCAGAGTTGAGAAATCTTTTTAGTTTACTGACCTCTTGAGTGTCATTACCCATGACCACAATATCATCAACATAAACTATCAAGAAGGTCACCAGAGAGACATTTCTCTTCAAGAACAGGGTATGATCAGATTGAGTTTGTGTGTAACCAAAGGAGACGAGCAGCCCTGAACCTCTCAAACCAAGCCCGAGGAGACTGTTTGAGACCATAAATAGATTTATAAAGTTTATACACCTTGCCTTGCATTTCCTTCCCATACACCCCTAGAGGCAACGACATATAGACCTCTTCATGTAGGTCTCCATTCAAGAAGGCATTTTTAACATTAAACTGGTGTAGGGGCCAATCAAAAGTAGTGGCTAGAGATAACAAATCCCTGATTGAGGTCATCTTAGCTACAGGAGCAAATGTCTCAAGATAGTCAATACCATACATCTGAGTGTAGCCCTTAGCAACCAGCCTAGCCTTAAACCTCTCAATAGATCCATCAGAGTGATATTTAATGGTAAACACCCATTTACAWCCCACTRGTTCCYTCCCKTMRGGCAAGTCAACAATATCCCAGGTATGGTTCTTATGCAAAGCATCCAGTTCAGCCATCATAGCATCCCTCCATTCAGGTTTAGATAAGGCTTCCGATACGGACTTGGGTATCACATGGAAAGAAACAGAAACAAGAAAAGAGTAGTAGGAAGGAGAGAGAAGGTTGTAAGACAGGTGTTTGGAGATACAATGGGCTGTACACTTCCGGTTGCCCTTGCGGAGAGCAATAGGAAGGTCAAGGTCTGGGAAAGTTGTAGATGGGTCAGAAGAAGGCTGACCTGTTACCTCAGTAATGATGGGAGGAGCAAGAGGCTCTTCCGTAGGAGTGGAAACAACCTGCCTATGTCTGAATCTATGCCTTTGGTACCACCTTTGGAGAACAGGATGAGGAGGAATTATAGGAGAATGAGGTGGAGGAGGAGGAATAGGAATATCGGAGGTAGGTCCAATGGGAGAAGTAGACACCTCATGATAGGACTCAAGAGGAATGGGAAGAGGAACAACTGGAGACATAGCAAAGGGCTCTTCAGATTTCTCCCCCTCGGGAGAAATGCTAAAGAAAGGAGTCAACTTAGCAAATGTGATATCCCTTTTGTGTGGAAGCATATCCCAGAAAAACACATTTACGAGCCTTAGGTTCAAACTTGTGCCTTTGATGACTGTGAACATGCACATAGCAAGTGCACCTAAAAACACGGAGAGGAAGAGAAAAAATATCCTCATCCGGGAAGAGAAGGCTAAAGGGGGTTTTGAAGTTAAGGACCTGGGAGGGCATACGGTTGATCAAAAAAGTAGCAGTAAGAACAGCATCTCCCCAAAATTTTATAGGAACATGGGATGCAAACAGGAGGTATCTGGCAACTTCAACCACATGTCTGTTCTTCCTTTCCGCTACCCTGTTCTGATGTGGAGTGTAGGAACAAGAACTTTGATGAATAACCCTAAAAGTTTCAAGATAGGCGGAGAGGGTTTTCTCAAAATACTCCTTATCATTATCAGAACGAAATATTTTGATCGGAGTGTTAAATTGGGTGAGGATGAGTTCATGAAATTTTTGCACAATAGTTGGTACTTCATCTTTGGATTTCATGAGATAAATCCAAGTGTAACGAGAGTAGTCATCAAAAAAGGATAAAGTACCTATAACCCCCATAGTTGGCAAATGATATAGCCCCCACACGTTAGAGTGAACAATATGAAAAGGAGAAAGAGATCTTTTATTGCTTACTGAATAAGAATGTCTACAATGCTTTGCCAGTTCACACGACTCACAA